AACACAACCCACGGTGAAGGAAGTCTGGTCAAGTAATTAGAAGGGCTTTACTGAATATTAGTCGGCCATGAGGGTTGCAAATGTCGCAAAGTATTACCCACAGAAAGTTCGATTTTCGTGGAAGTTGTATAGGGTATCATATGGTCGGCCCCGTCCGACTATACTGCTCCGCTCACTGGTTTTTATATCGATTCAAAATGACAATTTGTATTTTTTTTTACTGTTTTTGTTTTTTATTTTTTTAATTCTCATTATTTAAATAAATCGGTGTTTTTAAATAGTTTTCGTGTTAAAACTGTGTCTATATAATAAAAACAAAACTAACATTTTTTTCTGGAGTGTTGTTTCCTTTCGTATAATTTTTTTTAGCAAAAAAAAATATTCTTTAAATTTTTGTTACTACCTTTTTCTTTCTTTTCACTTCCTTTCCATTAAAAGACAATATTAACCATTCACATTATTTACCATTCCCACTCCCTTCCACCCCTCCAGAATTTCAATACACCGAACCCCCTAACTCTAGACATTTGACGCAAAAATAATAACTGAATTCCGAATTGACCGCAAACAGCCGCACCATTCAAATTCGGATGTAAAAACCATTTTTTTTAATGGCCGGCTTGTTTTGCTTAAAACCACCAATGGTAAATATTTTTATTACCAATTGCCGAGGAGGAAAAAAAACGAATTTCTTTTCATTTAAGAAGTTTGTCCGGTTGTGTTAAAAATTCTGGCTTCTTATCTCCTGGGAACAAATTTGGTGTGGTCAAGAAAAAAATTCAAACAATTTGCCTCAGGTTCGATGTCAATGGACAATTGTACATATTTTATTATGAACAAAAAACGTTTTGAAAATTTTGTGTAAATTATTTATACAGCTGTGTGCAGGCAGCTGGGGGGTCAATCACGTAATATGCCATTCAATGTGAGTCATTATAGAAATATTTATATGCCGTGGAAGCAAATTAAATTTTTCTTGCAATACATTTTTGAATGGGTTATTCAAAAAATATTTTTCTTAAAAAGAAAACTCTTGGTCTTTAGGGGGCCTCGAATAATATATATTTTTCTTAATGGGAACTTACATATGAGCACCTAAGGCTCGAGGCTCTCAAAAATATTTTTTTCAAAATCTTATCATAAAAGTTAATATAAAAGATATATTTAAATATTATTAAATATTTAATATAAAAGATATTTTAAAGTTATCATAAAAGATATTTTTTAAAAAATCTACATCTTAAAGTTATCATGAAAAATAGTTTTTAAACCAGTGAGCGGAGCAGTATAGTCGGACCGCGCCGATCATACGATACCCTACACAACTTCCACGAAAATCTTACTTTCTGTGTGTTTCTATATTCTGATTTTGGACACTATTTCGTGATATCTGCACCCTCTTGACCGAGTATAGGTCAACAACAGCTCTTCCTTACATTGCCTTAATTTCCGAATATTACTAGTATTTAGTACAACCCTTCTAATTACTTTTCGAGATTTCCTTCAGGGTTTGTTCTTGTGTTCGGCTGATAATTTTGGCCTACAGATAGGCAAAAAAAAAAAGGTTTTGAACTCCTTTATCCCAAAATTATTATCTGATCACCGAAAATTATAGGCGTTGTCCTTGACCATAACTGGAACCTCATGGAATATTTCATAGGGACCAGCGCTATATCTCTGCTCTCTAGTGTGGTAATGGGTTACAAAATAATATCTCAGTACGTAAGCACCTGTAAATATTTAAGTTTAAATTCCACATCGTAGTAATTGGTACAACAATGGAATTGGTATTGATTTGAAGGTCAACCACTCTTCTTGGATATACTATTGCCTTCGAGGATCTATGTCCTACAGGAGTAAATATATACGCTATAGAATACAAATTTTGTCATTTTTCACACAAAAGTCAGGGTCCATTTGAACCGCTAAATATTGATCGACCTTTATCAAAACAGGCAGGCTTATTCTCTAGCCCGATCCCCTTCTCCATGCGTATTTGGTCCATTTCATCCCCTATAATATACAATAGGGATCTTCATTGGTCAGATCCCATCCTACATGCAAAATTTCGTGAATTTTGCATGTAGGACACACATGTCTAGATCGATTCAGCTAGTCGAGATATGACGATCGGAATACTTAAAGGTGTTCATTTGACCCTCTAAATATTGACCGATCTTTATCAAAACAGGTATGCTTATTCTTTAGCCCGATCCCTTTCTCTATGTAAAATTTCACGATGTTCGGACCATAACTGCGGCCTCTGAAGCGACCAGAAAAGCCGACAAAAGTAAAGTTTTTGGTCCATTTCATCCCCTAAATATTAACCGATCTTTACCAAAAACAAAAGGGGTCTTCATTGGCCAGAACCCTTTCCACATGCAAACATTCGTGAAGATTGGTACATAATTGTGGCCTGTATCGTGTTTACAAATTATAATGGACAGGCGGACGGACGGACACATATGTCCAGATCAACTCAGCTAGTCGAGATATGACGGTATACTTAAAGGTGGGTCTAGGACCAATATTTTACAGCGTTACAAACTCTTGGGGCTGCACAAAGCTTATAATACCCTGACAACATAATTGTGTAGGGTATAATTATTATCTGATCATCGTCTGTCCTTGACCATACCTGGATCCTCATGGAAAATTTCAAAGCGATCAGATCTATATTTCCGCCTTCTACTAAATAATATCTCAGTACTTAAGCACCTGTAACTATTTCAGTGTAACTCCCACATCTGAGTACATAAGACCATATAATTGGTATCAATTTAAAGGTCAAAGGTCAACTCCTCTTGGATATACTATCAACTTCTAGGGTCTATGTCCTTCAGGGATAAATTTATATACACTACAGAATACAAATGTTGTAAATTTTCACACAAAAGTCAGGCCCGATCCTCTTCTTCATGTAAAAATTCGGGATGGTTGGGCAGTAATTGCGGCCTCTGGAGCAACCAAAAAAAACGTACAAAATTTAAGTATTTGGTCCATTTCATCCCTTCATATTAACCTATCTTTTCCAACAACAATAGGGGTCTTCATTGGCTAGAACCTATCCTACATGCAATGCACTTCGTGAAGATTGGTCCATAACAGTGGCCTGTATCGTGTTTACACATCTCTAGATCGACTCAGCTAGTCGAGATATGACCGAATCCGTATACTTAAAGGTGGGTCTGGTGGACCAATATTTCGCGGCGTTACAAACTCTTGGGACTGCACAAAGCTATAATATCCTGACAACATAGTTGTGTGTAGGGTATAAAAATGAATTTACTAATAAATTATTTTCTTCTTCTTTTTCAGGTATGTTTCATTTTGTCAATAAATTTCCAATTCTAATTTTAAATACTGTCAAGTAAGTAAAAATGATTTAAATAGTTGTTGTATTTTATTCTTGCATCACTTAACCTTCTAATCTGTTGCCTGACATCTTCTGTGACCCCATGATCTGCTGATGGGTATTAACCTAAAAATCCCACAGAATATATAAGATACGACACTTGCTCCGAATATTTATATCTAATACTGGCAATTGTCCTGTTCTGGTGTAAATCATCTGTTATTCTACAAAACCATAGTGTAAATGTAAATTGATACCTCACACATGCACACACACACTTCAATATGAAATATGTATACAGTGATAATTATTTATATGTGTGTGTGTGCGTGTGCACCAAAACCATAAATACTTTTATTTAGAAACATAAAACCCGAACTATCTCTGTGTGACAACAATCAATTTAAAATGATGTGAATCTCCTTCGAGAGTGTGTGTGTGTGTGTGTGTGGGTTATGGCATGTACGTGTGTGTGGTCAATTCTACATTTATATATTTGAGTGAGTTTGTGTGTGTGTGTGTATTTGTATTTGTAAATAATGTATAAATACTTGTGTGTTAAGTATTTAAGTGCTTTTAAGTGTCTTGAATTTTTATGTTATTTTATAAATGTTTTATTTCATTTCATTTCAATTTCGAAATGTGACTTGACCAGGATAAAAGTTCCGAACACGTCTTCGTTACATAAGTAAATATGCAGAAATGTAGGTTTGGCACACACACGTAACAATTTGATGTGGTGAAAGACTTTTAGATGGGGACTTTTTGAGAATATATTTTGAAGGGCTTAAAAAGGGACGTGGATTTTTTAAAAATTGTTGTCAGGCGTGGTTTTTTAAAGAAAATATTTTTTACAAGGGTTAATTAAAGGCGTGGATTTTTATACCCTACACAACTATGTTGTCAGGGTATTATAGCTTTGTTCAGCCCCAAAAGTTTGTAACGCCGCGAAATATTGGTGCTAGACCCACCTTTAAGTATACCGATCATCATATCTCGACTAGCTGAGTCGATCTAGACATGTGTGTCCGTTCGTCTGTCCATTATACAGGGTGAAGTAAAAAAAAAACTGCAACAAAGTCAAGCGCCATAATTTTTACATTTTTTTTAAATTTTGTTGAATGAAAGCAAAAATGTCGGAAATAGCGTCAAATTTTAGAATATGTTTAGATTTGTTCGAATTGGTCACCTTTGGCGCGAATTATGGCCTTCAAACGGCCAATGAAACCATCACACGCTGCCCGATTGTTGCTCTGCGGTATTTTGGCTCATTTCTGGCGAAGCACTTGCTTGAGGTGATCGAGACTTTGGTATTTTTTAGTGCCAACCTTGCTTTCCAAAATACTCCAGACACAATAGTCCAACGGATTGGTATCAGGAGATATTGGTGGCCATTGTGCGCTGGAAATGAAGCGAGGAACCTCATTTTGTAACCATTCTTGGTTGGCGCGTCCACCATGTTTGCATGCCCAAGGCTTTAATACACCCTCCAGAATATTTTCACAATAATATTCAGCATTTATTCGGATGATATTCGATTAATACGAGCGAAGAGCTACCATCGGCTGTTATGGCGGCCCACACCATCACCATTACCGGCGCTTGAGTTTTGGTGGCCAACCGAAGTTTCACATTTTCAGCTAACCTCTTTGGCAAGTAAACACGATCATTTTGTTTGTTTACAAACTGCTGGACAACGAATGCTTGTTTTCTCATCGAAGAAAACCAAATTCGGCAGCTCACCACTTTCGGCCATGCTCCTTAGCTCTTTTCAGTCTATTTTCTATCTGTTCCATCACTAATAACTTTTTTCGGGAAAATTCTTATCAAAATGCTTTTGTACGCTTGTAAATAATAAAATTTTAACAGCTTTCGGACGAGTGACTTAGAAATGGCGGCAGTCTGATGTTGGTGGCAGTTTTTTCATCCCACCCTGTAATTTGTAAACACGATACAGGCCATAGTTATGAACAAACTTCACGAAATTTTGCATGTAGGATGGTTTCTGGCCAATGAAGACCCCTATTGATTTTGGTAACGATCGGTTAATATTTAGGCGATGAAATGGACCAAAAACTTTATTTTTGTCTTATTTTCTGTTCGCTCCAGAGGCCGCAATTATTACGCAAACATCGCGAATTTTTACATAGAGAAGGGAAATAATAAGCATACCTGTTTTGATAAAGATCGATCAATATTTAGCGGGTGAAATGGACCCTGACTTTTGTGTGCAAAATTAAAAAAATTGTATTCTGAGGCGTATATATTTACCCCTGAAGGACATAGACCCGAGAAGTTTATAGTATATCCAAGAGGACTGGTTGACCTTTAAATTGATACCAATTATATTGTCGTATGTACTCGGATGTGGGTGTTACACTTAACTATTTACAGGTGCTTACATATTCATATATTATTAAGTATCCCATTACCACACTAAAGAGCGGAAATATATATATTGAAATTTTCCATGAGGATCCAGGTATGGTCAAGGATAATGCCCAAATTTTCGGTGATAATCAGATAATAATTTTGGGATGAAGTGGACCGAAAACTTAATTGTTTGTGTTTTTTTTTCGAGTCGATATATGGGCCACAATTGGAAGCCGAACAGCACCCACTATAAAGGGAATCTGAACAAGTAATTAGAAGCGCTGTCCGGATATTAGGAATATTTGTTGACCTTTAGTCAGTCAAGAGATGGCAAATATCGCGAAATATTGTCCATGCACAAAATATAGAATCACACAACGTTAGATTTTCGTGGAAGTTGTGTAGGGTATCATATGGTCGGCCCCGTCCGACTTACTGCTCCGCTCACTGGTTTAAAAATATTTTTGTCAAGGGTTTATTAGAGGCGTGGATTGTTTTGTTTTTTTTCTGGGTTCATCTATTGGATATGATTTTTTTAATTTTGTTTTCTAGTGTCATCGACAAAATCCATGGACTATTTATAAATCTATTCGAAAATAGAATTACAATAATAAACACAATTTACCCTATATGAATATGCCGCTAAGGAAGTGACACAAAAAAGAGCCCAAATCTTTTGAACATCTTCTAGTCATCCCCATTCGGCACTTAATCGTAATTCAATTTGCAGCTATATTTACTTTTTTCCTTATATCCATTTTTACTCTTTGCAAATACAACAAAAACAACAATAGCAAATTGTCATGACCTTGAAATAGATAATCAAATTATATTTCAGTTATTCCGGCTAAAATTTTGTTAGCTAACGACCTTGAGCAACTTTTTTTTGTCATTTGGTTGTTTGATTTTCCAAACTATGGCCCATGATGATTGACTTACAAAGTTCGCATGGATGTCAGTCAGTCAGTATGCCACTAGCGTGTTTGTTGTTGTTGTTACAAAAAATTATCAAAGTAGCAGATTTTTTTAGTTGTTGTTGCCTTGAAGTATCCTCTTACTTTAATGTTTATCTTAGATTTTTTCGTTTTGATTTATTTACATCGTTTTCGGTTGATGTGCAGCGGTGTGTCGGTCTGTCGTGTGACTTCTGTTGTAATTATGACATTTGATATTTTAGATGTGCTTGGCATTGAAATATTTTTTTTTCTATAAATAAAAATATCATCTGTCACTAAACAACAATTATGCTACCCAACTGAACCCGCCATGACATTTTGCTGCAATGAGCTTGATATGAGTGAATAGTTTTGAGTTTTTTTTTTTTATTTGGAAATCTGATCTCTATAAGGAATTTTGCGAACAAATAACACGCACGTGTTCATGCTTGTAACTTATGGAAGATATTTTTCGAAAAATTTACTCTTTTTAATGGCGGTTGAAAAAATAGTTTTAAAAAAATCCACGCCTTGCAAAAAATGTTTTAAATCAGTGAGCGGAGCAATATAGTCGGACGGGGCGAACCATATGATAACCCTACACAACTTCCACGAAAATCTAATTTTCTGTGGTACTACATTCTGAGCTAGGACAATATTTCGCGATATTTGCACCGACTAGAGGTCAACAAATATTACTGCTATTCAGTACAGCTCTTCTAATTACTTCTCCAGATTCCCTTCACCGTGGGTTGTGTTGTAATGTTCGGCTTTCAATTGTGGCCCATAGATCAAGTCGACTTCATCCCAATATTATTATCTGATCATCACCGAAAAATCCTTGACCATAACTAGAACCTCATGGAACATTTCAAAGCGATCAGCGCTATATTTCCGCAGGGTTACTAAATAATATCTGAATACGCAATCACCTGTAAATATTTAAGTGTAACTCCCACATCCGAGTACATACGACAATACCAATTGATATCCATTTAAAGGTCAACCACTCCTCTTGGATATGCTATCAACTTCTCGGGTCTTTGTCCTTCAGGAGTAAATATATATGTGCCATAGAATACAAATCTTGTCATTTTTCACACAAAAGTCAGGGTCCATTTGACCCGCTAAATATTGACAGATTTTTATCAAAACAGGCATGTTTGGCTGATCGCCTTCTCCATGTAAAAATTCGCGACGTATGGGCCATAATTTAGTATTTGGTCCATTTCATCCACCCATTCCACATGCAAAATTTGGTGAAGATTGGTCCATAACTGTGGCCTGTATCGTGTTTACAAATTATAATGGACAGACATAGTTGTGTAGGGTATACAAATCCTCATCTCTTTATAGAGCTTGAAAAGCCCTCTAATTATACCCTTCACCACACTGTGGTGCTGGGTATTATGTATTTGTGCATATGTTTGTAACAGGCAAAAGGAAAGGAGATAGACACATGATTCCTTTTGAGAATATGCATAGAATCACTTTCTGAGTCGATTTATATATGTACGTCCGTCCGTCAGCCTGTAGATGCTAAATTGTAAACAAAGTACAGGTCGCATTTATTATCCGATTAGGATGAAATTTGGCACAAGTCACTTATTTGGCCCAAGGACGAACCCTATTGAAATTGAAAATCGGATAAGATTTAGATATAGCTCCCATATATGTATTTTCGTCCGATTTAATGTAAATGGTACACCAAAGTTCATCTATATCTTTCGATTTGCACGAAATTTGGCACAGCGTACTAAATTTGGTCTAGAATGATTCGTGCTAAGTTTCGGGAAAATCGGTTCAGATTTAGATATAGCTCCCATATATATTTTCGTCCGATTTTATGTAAGTGGTCCCGCGAAATCCCTATATAACTTTCGATTTGCACTAAATTTGGCATAGGGTACTAAATTAGGTGTAGAATGATGTGTGCTAAGTTTCATAAAAATCGGTTCAGATTTCGATATAGCTCCCATATATATTTTCGTCCGATTTAAGGTAAATGGTGCACCAAAGTTCCTCTAAATCTTTCGATTTGTACCAAATTTGGCACAGCGTACTAAATTAAGCCTATAATGATGTGTGCTAAGTTTCGTAAAAATCAGTTCAGACTATATTATATTTTCGTCCGATTATATCTTTCGATTTGCACAAAATTTGGCACAGCGTAGAATGATGTGTGGTAAGTTTCAAGAAAATCCGTTCAGATTTAAATTTAGCTCCCATATATAATTTCGTCGGATTTTATGTAAATAGTGCACCATACTCCATATGTTTGTCCGACTAACACGAACGTATCAAACTGAGCCTAGAATGACGTTATTGCATTTTGTTTGAGGATATCATATAATCGGCCCAGTCCGACTTTACTGCTTTCCTTACTGGTTAGTTTTCTTCACATTTTTAGATTCTCGACAATATTTTTATTTAAAAAATCTACACCTCGATGATGATCTTCAAAATAAAATCACCTCAACCGTGATTTAATTTGTCTTCAAATTAAAACGCCAACACCACCAAAACCGGAAAACAAACAACACACATTTCAAGTTCAAAACCAAAAGCAAAACAAAATCTATAACAAGCTCTAAATTAAGAGTGTCTAAACATACGTTTTACACACGCCATCCAAAATATAATAAAATTAAAACAATAACTAAAACAACAACAACAACAACAACGTGACATACTATACTTGTTTCTAGTAAAAAAAAAACGAAAACAACAACAAAAAAGTTGATATCAAATTTCCAACTGCATTGTTCAAGAAGTCTGGTCCGTTCGCCAACCATTGGTGTCTTGCCCAACCAACCAACCACTGTCATCAGCATGAGTAATTTATATGCAAAAATTGTTTTGCAAATTGAAAAACAACAACAACAACAAAAGCAACTTTAAAATAGAATTATTAACAAAGATTTATAACAAACCATTTAAAAAAATTGTTGATAGCATGGATCAAGTGACACGATGCAAGGTGTGGTATGAGGGGACTATGGTGATACCCTAGAGTAGATTTAAAAAAAAATATTTTTTTTCAATAGAAGCTTGAAATTTTGAGTGTGGGTTGGTGTTGGTGTGTAGGCGTGAGATAAGGCTGGGTTTTTGGAAAATCGAACTAGAAGGGTACGAAAAGTACTAAAATGTACCAAATATGGTACCCTTTGTATTAGGCGAACGGGAAGAGCTAAAATTCTGAAATTTTGAATGTGGGTCACTGATGGAAAGTTAGAAAGATGCACAAAAGGGTTTTTGAAAATTCGACCTATAAGTGTACTAAAAGTACTAAACTCTACCAAGTTTAGTTCTAATTCTATATTGAACATATATAGCTAGAATCTTGAAATTTTATATGGAATGCAAGTTGGGAAGTAATTTTGATGTATGGAAATGGTTTAAGAAATTAGTACATATTTATATAAAAAGTACAAAATG